TAATAAATGTTGCTCGTGGTGGAATAATTGATGAAAAAAGTCTTATTCATGGTCTTAATTCTGGTCAATGTGGTGGTGCTGCTCTTGATGTATTTGAACAAGAACCACCTACTGATTTGAAACTTCTTCAACATCCATTAGTTATATGTACACCTCATTTAGGTGCAAGTACTCGTGAAGCACAAAAACGTGTAGCTATTGAATTAGCTCAACAAATAATTGATTTTAAACAAGGACATTCATTATTTGGTGTTGTTAATGGATCAGCAGTTACATCACAATTTGCACAAGGTAATAGAGCTATTTTATTACTTTCAAAACGATTAGGACAAATTATTGGAGCATCATCAATATCAACACCAACTCAAATTTCACTTTCATTTAATCGTATGTTAAATATAATAATTAATCAAAATAAAAGAAAAAAAAAAAAGAAAGATAATTCTTTTATTTATATTAGATACTGTATCGGATCATTTATTTGAAGCTGTTGAAATTTATTTTTCTTATGGATATTTACATGAAAAAGGCAATAAACGTGTTAATTTTGTTAATGCTCTTCATTTATTCGAAATTAAAGTATTTAAAATATTGATTAATTAAAATATTTTTCTTTTTTTATTTATAATTTTAAATAATATTTATTTTAATTTAGATGAAAAGAATTGTTGATAAAAATCAAGAATTAAATAATGTATTAGTTGTTCGTATATCCGGTGATAGTAAAATAAAAGAATTATCTGGTATTATTTCTGGCGATCATTTATGGTTAGATTGTATAAATCAATGTCGTTTTATTGCTCATGTGCCACTCGATGATGAAAATACTCATGTTGTTGTTCGACCAATAAAAGGATCATTTATGGATTATCTTCGTGACAATACATCACAATTAAATAATCGAATATCGGCTGTTTTTGATACAACACCTTCAACAGGAAATATTCAAGATGAACGTTGGTGTGCCCTACTTTTATAAAACAAAAACAAAATAAAAAAGAAAAGAAAGAAAAAAGAATGTTTTTTAAAGGAAAGATAAAATAATCAGGATCAGCTAAATTTGTTTTTTTTCTTGTTGCTTTGATTGATTTCAGATTGACTATTAAATAACTGATTTATATTTATATTCAATTAACTATTCAAACTGTCAGAGACAATATGCGGAGGGTTGTCAAACATCCGGAAATTGTTCACTTTACCTAAAGTTCGCTAGTGAATACAAGGATTTTACTAGTCAATGAAAATAACACCAAATTTATGTCACACTGATAGTATAGACAACTTTTCTATTTCTCATTGGAACTTTATTTTTACTCAGCGGATTTTAGATGGACTTTACTATCTCATATATGTATATATAATAAATTTATCCATTTGCTTTAAACTTATTTAAATTTCTCTTATATTTATTTGAATGAATCAGTACTGCTGGAGTATTTATATTTTGCTTTTTCTATAATTATAGTCTGTTTAAAAAGTCCGTGCATGTGACTGTTTTTTGAATAACTCGAGAATGCAAGCAGCTAGAGACTTGCACTTTTCACCAATCGAAAGAGGATGAGTTAGGGGGTCTTTCTCTCTGATAATGTCTCAAATGAAATTCTTTTAAAAGTGATCATCTTTGAAAAATATAGAAAATAATCCATGAAAGTGACATAGAATATACATGAAGTTTCGATAATGACCTTTGATTTGGATAGAGGGAGTCCAGATCTATATTTCAAAAGATAATAGACTTTCTTACGTTTCATTACATATTCGTCGAAGTATTCGGCTGTTATGACAAAAAATGCAAAAACGTAGTAAAACATCAGGAAAACTGCCTATTATTTGTGCATGTAAGTACATGATTTCATTTGGTAAACATTAGAATGCAATTAGAGAGCCATTTCCGTTGCATATTGAACTATAGATCTGAACTCTCTCTATCGAAATCAAAGGTCATTATCGAAACTTCATGTATATTCTATGTCACTTTCATGGATTATTTTATTTTCGATATTTTTCAAAGATGATCACTTTTAAAAGAATTTCGTCTGAGACATTATCAGAGAGAAAGACCCCCTAACTCATTCTCTTTCGATTGGTGAAAAGCACAGGCCTCTAGCTGTTTGCGTTCTCGAATTATTCAAAAAACAGTCAGATGCACAGACTTTTTAAACAGACTATACTGATATTTCATTAGGTATACATAGTCTCATAGATATTTCCATATTTGTAAATGAAAATCTTATCATTATCTTTATAAGAAAAGAATTGATAATATCATGAATTGAAGCAAATAAGTTAAACAATCAAAACGACTCAAACTATTAAAAAGACTTATTTACAATTTATCAATTGATATTTGTATAGTTTTTGTTTCGTTCTGCTTAAAAGTGGAGAAAAATCTCTAAAATCTACAGATAAACGATTTGTTCATAACTTTTTCAGAAAAAAATCTTCTCACTTGGAACTTATTTTTTACTATACATAAAAATTGTCAACATAAATCATTTTAAAAGTTAATGTTATTTCTAATACTTGTGTAATGTTTTGTCTATTGTCGATCATCATATTTGTTGAGATACATATTTATTTATTTATATTGAAAGCTTTTGCTCGTCTCAATTCCATAGAATAATATTTTAGAATATTATTTAAATTATTTTCTGCAGCCGTTTAGAGTTTTAATATAATAAATTTCATGGTTTCTTCTTCTACCATTATCGGAGAATAGACCTATTTAGAACTTGATGGCTTTACCTCAAATAATGACCATTAATAACTTTGAAAATATAATTAATTTTGACAACATAATTTCATTTTTTTATGAAAAAAACAAATAAGTCCGCCATGAAAAGGTTAAAAGGACAGTTAAAGTTATTGGCAAAATATTAGTCTGAATTTTGCACATTATATTCTAGAGGATCTATTCAATGAATTTAACATAAGATATAATGTTAAAAAATGTCAAGTCCTATTTCTCTTGAAGAAAAAGGTTACTGAAAAAAGACGTTTTTTTCTTAGGAAACGATAGGGCTTATTCTCTTCTATTGAATTGTATATAATTTATTTTTATAAGACACTCATAAACGAAATGATAGAAGAGAAAAGAGAAATATCCTTAGAAAAAAGTCTTCACTTTTCCTGAAATTGAGAATAATGATTCCTTTGATGACTCTTCGATAAAGAGGTTCTGAAAAAAATATTTTTTTTATTAGTTTATAGGAAATTTTCTCCTCTTTCAATCAGTGTACAATTTGTGTTTGTTACACATTCGTAAATGAAATTATACGAAAGAAAACGAGAAAGATTCGCAGAATAGATTTTCAATTTTTATATGAATTCGTCAAAAGTATATTGTTAGACAAAAATGAATTCGAATTTTATTGACTGATTAAAAAGATCTTGTGAACCAGTGATTACTTTGACTTTTATGAAATCGTTAAAAATATTCTATAAAACAACAAATAATTATAATAAGATCTCATCTGCAAGATGCTTTTGACGAATTCATATACAAAATAACATAATTTATTCCACAAATCTTCTTCTTTTTTTTTTTGTCTTGCTTTACTTACTAATGTGTGACAAACATAAATCGTACACTGTTCGAAATAGGAGAAAATTTTCTATCAATTGGTAAAAAAATATTCTTTTCAGAAGTTATTTATCGAAGAGAAAGAAGGATCTAAATATAATGGAATTAGTTTTCTATGATATGTTATTCTATGAACTAACTGATATCTAGTGTTGACCGATTACATTTAATGACGTTGATTTTCCATTGAAGCAGATCGTCATCAATCATAAACTACACTAAAATAGTATTTAAGTCATTCTTGTAATCAACATCCACTTGAGACTAATGTGGTTCTAGACGAAAAGAATAATGATGGGATGGAGGGAGAAGACTTTTGCCCATGGGTGTATTACTGATGAATATCTAACCTAATTCCTTTTCTTTTTCAGACAAAATAATTTGGTTTTTTTTTTTTCAAAAAAAACCTAGGAAAAAGAATTCCACTTATCCATAGAGAATCTGTTCCATTTAAGAATAAAAAATGTAATAGAAAATTTTTGAAGGATAAATGTCGAATGCAAGAAAAGTTTCATATGATAAAATAAAGATGATTTCTTTTCCTAACCATATTGATGTTAACATTTGTTATTTTATTTGTATTTAGTTTTGTTTATAATTCAGGCGAAATAATCTACTAAAATCTTGTTAAATATCCGAACAATAAAATAAAATCGAAATATGATTAATAAAATCAAATACTTGAAATATATTAATATTATTCTGTTAATTTAATTAACAGAAATGATAATCATGATCAGGAAATCTAATGAAATTATTTTACTTATTGAATATCTATGAAAAGTGAATAAAAAAAATTTATCTAGATGATTAATTTTCAATTCATTTTTATTTATTATTTAGTCTGAAATTATTTTATTGAATAAACATATATTAAATATTATCTTTAATAATAAATCGAAAATAAAATAATCGATTATTTTAGTTGAATATTTATTTTGTTTATTTTTAATTTAAGATTTTTTTTTTGAAATTTGATTTATTTTCATATTTTGCTCGTTTTTGTTGAATATATTTTTCAAATAAGAAAAAATTAAAATTAAAAGACAGAATATCTTTATTATTTAAGGTCATTGTTTAAATAAAAGAGATATTTGTCTATAAAGAAAAGAGATAAAGAAAGTTCGAATCAGGTATTGTCTTGAATAAAACGATTATTCAGATGATTTTGTCTCGAATCTTGTTCTTTCATTGTTTTTTCTTCATTTATTTGTGGCCAACATAAATGCCGATTGAAAAATACAAAACATTTTGTTGGAATTCCTTTTTGTTATATTAAAAATAATAAACAGAATAAAATAATGAAAAAAAAAAGATAAATAATTCTACAAACTTTGTTGATTTGATGTACATAAATATGTGTTTATGCAAGGTTCGGTGAAATATCGTTTACCAATTCTAAGAAATGTGTGATATCGTCCAAGTTTCGGAATGTGATAAGATGGAGAGACAAGTGGAATCGATATAAGTAGTACAAGAATAAGAAGAAACATTTTCTAGTATTACTGATTCTAGGACGCATTCATTGATGATTCTACTGGAATCATATATAGTCAATTATATCGGAGCGCAAATCACACGACTAATCAGGTTTAAGATAAAGATAGAGAGAGAAAGAAAGAATAAAATGAAACAAGTTTATAGCCGATGAGTCGATCGATCATGGACGGACAAGTGGGCATATGACATCATCAGTATTTTATTCTGATCGAATAATCAAAGGATGGAAAGAAGAACACATCCTTTTTCATATCCGGCTTTTCTCCTTGTTCTTGTTCTTCTTGTTTTATTTAGCCTCTAGCACGAGATTGGAACGATCAGATTTATTGATAAAGAAAAAAAGAACACAAAACAGAAATGTATTTATGTCTTAAATCGAACTTGTAATTGTCGACCATGGAATGGAGTTGCATTTAAACTTTGAACTGCCATCTGAGCTTCTTGATATTGTTCCATGGCGACAAATGCATATCTATTTAAATATATTAATTCATTAAAAATTAAAACAAAAAAAAAAAAACAATAAAATATTTACCCTTTGCATAAACCCGTATTAAAATCAATAATAATATCAACACGAAGAACACGTCCAAATGGTTGAAATAAAGCATAAATTTCTTCTTGAGTAGCTCTTTGTCCAATTCCATAAATATAAACAACATGACCACCTTTAGGTGATTCAGGTGGTATAACTTGTTGACCATATTCTCCATAAACAGCTTGTTGTGTACCTGGTGGTCCATAAGATGTTTGTTGAGGTGTACCATAATAACCAGCATACATATCAGCTTGTTGTTGATAATGATGAGGAAGACCAAATGGATTTCCAAAAGCTCCATATGATGTTTGTGCTGCAGCAACAGCAGCTGCAACTCCATTATTCCATTGACCTTGAAGTTGAGATGCATTACGTGCTTGATAACCAGCTTGTTGAGCACCTAATGGATCATAACGATTACTTCCATAATTTCTTTGTTGTTTCAATTTATATGAATTTGTTCCTGATGGATTTTGATTATTTCCATTTGAATTAACTGATTGACCACCACCACCACCACCACCACCACCACTATAAGAATTAATCGATGGACGATTTGTTGTTACAGTTGTTGATATTTGATGTTGAGGATAAGATTCATTTCTTTGTTCATTGGATTGTTGCGTTGAATATTCTCCTCCTGCTCCTCCTCCTGTATAATCACTTGTACTACTTGTTTGTTGTTGCGATTTTGTTGCACCGTTGTCCCTTTAATCAAAAGAAATTTTATTTTAGTTTTTCGAAAAAGATTTTTTTTTGTTTTTTATTTTTAAATGAATGAGAATTTGATTTAAAAAAGAAAAACAAAATAAAATAAATAAAAACGCGATTTGGGAAAAAATGGAATAATCTCACTTTTTCTCATAATTTCTCCTATTTTCTAACTCACATAATTGGGAGCGGCTTTGTAGACTCGCTTAGTCACAGCGAAAGATTTGATAGAATAAAAGAGGAGACAAAAATCTAAAAATAGAGGAAAAAAAAAAGCCCAAAAAAAAAAAAAAAAAGAAAAATAAAAAAAATTTTCTTATAAAAATGTAAAATAGGGACTATTTTTTGATTACCCGTTATTAATTTGAATAAAATCTAGAAAAAGAAAAATGTTAATTATTGATTTGATATTTAATATATTAATTAATCATCATCATCATTGATAAACATATAACATCAAATTTATTTATTTCCATTTTTATAATTTTAAATAAATGAGCTGTTTTTTTTTTTTTTTAACATATTGAATAAATAATTTTGTTTTATTTATTTCATTGTTTTATCTCAATATAATATATAAATATCATTGTTTTTATTAAAATATATTCATCAAAAATAACACAACATAAATAATAATTTCAATGACAAATAAAGTAAATAAACAACTAGGAAGTTTTTATTTTCTTTTTGCTTTTTTGTTTATTAACCATCAATGTAATTCATTTTAATTCGATAATTAAAGGAAAAAAGTCAATGATCAATTTAATTTCTTAATTAGATTGAAAAAAAGATAATTGACAATCGATTAATAACATGCATCTTATTGTGAACAATCATTAAGAACTAGTTTTTTTTTTTCAATCAATTAACAAAACAAATTCAGCCATGTTGATTCATCACTGTGTGTCTTGTCCTCCCTTTATTCTTTGTCCGAATAAAGATGTCACTACATATAGACACTAAATTTTTTTTTCTTCTTTTATTCATTTTATATTTATAAATTAAATATTTGAAAATAAAAGAATTTATTTCTAATACTGATTTATGGGAGTTTTTTTTGTTTATTCCATTGATCTAATCAAATAAAAAATCGTCGTTTACAATATTCTACTTACCATAAATGTTTTGATAAAAAGATTTTCTCTGTGATGCATTTTATTTAACGATAACAAAATCTATTTTTAATTTTATAATCTATTTAGAAAAAAAAAAAAACAAAATAAGAAATAAATGGAAAAATGTCAGTCAAAAAAATCTATTTGATTATATCAGCATAGAATTTTTTAATAATTCAATTTACTAAAAATAAACATTGAGACCGTTGCCTTTGAAAATATAGAAATATGATTAATTATTAAGCTCATTACGAAATCGATGATAGAAACTAAACAAGTGAAGAACTTTTTTGAGAATTAAGACAGCATGAAATGAATATTTGAAGTTATTTATATTGTTTCCGTTAATATCCTTGTCGTTGCTCTTTTATGTCAAGTCAACAGGCCGGAAAAGAAATAATCTCTGAGAATTTGCTGACATATAGATATAAATAATGTTTTTCTCCAATATTCTCGAAAGTACAATTAGAAAGTTTTTCTGTACGGAAAAAGTAATGAATATAGAATGATAGTTGATCTAACAACTCTTTTATCTTTAGTTTTAGTGATATTTTATCAAGTTTTACTTCTGAAGAGTTTTCTTTTTCAGACAATCGTCACAATGATGACCACTCTCACCAACAAATATTTTAAACAATTCTCATAACTGGTATTTAACCACACTTTTATTTTTCGAATGAAAATCCAGTTGAGAAAAAATATGAATAGATTCTCCTAATCTTGGTCAATTCTGAATCTTTTTCCTGAGTTAAATAGTTCGCATCTTAGTAAAAAAAAAAACCAAAAATCCAACATGCATTAATCTTATATATTTGTCAATGTAATTGACGATATCTGATTCCTAGTTATGTCCTATATAACCAATATATTCTCCATTGAAAAAATGATTATCATCTGAATAAGTATCCTGATAAGAAAAATGAATGTATCTCAATTAAATGTTTGTCTGTTGTGATGATAATGTGTAGCTGATGGATTGATTGTTACAATCATTTGGATTTTTTTTTGTTGTACTTTCCATAATATGTAACCATTTTCGATGATGATACTCAAATATGTTTATTATCTGTTTGAGAAGAGAACTTTTTATTATAAAATGAATATATTTAACGTAAATGTAGTTTATGAAGATAAACCTATGCAAATGAAAGAGACTTTTTATCAAACGGCGAATAATTATTTTATGTTGAATAATTCTATATTATCTATTTTTATTTTCATAATATTTTTTCATCTTTTAAATAATAAATAATAATTTATTATCAATTTAGATAAAATAGTTCGAACTAATATGTTAATTATATATAAAATATTTAGTGTAGTTAATTATGAAAAATAAAAATGAAAAGTATTTATTTAAATGTTATATAGAAGAGAGAAATAAAAAGCGATTGTTTATAAGTGTTACTAATTAATAATGTGTCAAATGAGAGCAATAAGTCTTCGAATGTGTTATTATGAAAAAGTGAAGAAAAATGATGATATTTTCCTTTTTTTAAGGTATGTTTTGAGATAGACAAATCTGACAAGATATCATTGTAAATCAATCAATTATAAAAATATGTATATCTACAAATAGAATTGTCAGTAGTAGAAAATAGGAAAAAAAAAGAAACGATAATAATCAATGGCTACTGCCTTTCAACCTCAAATCTGCATAATATTATAAAAAAAAAAAAATTCATTGACGATGAGAGAATCTTCTGGGACGTAATATGTGATTTGCATTTATAAAGTGACACATCAGCTAAGTGGCATGAATCTTTAAATCTATTTATGTATTTACTGCAGAACAACATATCTCTACCAGACATGAGAGTTGCTACTTTTCTATCTTAACCGAAAATAATTATTCTTAAAAGAAAAACTAAACTCAAATATCATAAGTATTTCATATCAATATGAAAAAGTTCTCATCTTTTTTATCGAATCGTTTTTTTTTGTAAATTTTTGTATTTCTTGTTTGTTTAAAAATAAAATTCTTTTTAATCATTTTCGTGTAAAATTATTAAAAATTTCGTATAAACCGAGATTAAATAGATGATAAAATATAGCACTTCGATTTTCTTATTTCGAATATTTTTATTAATTAATTGAACATTTCTTCGAGTTCATAACTTTGATTGGTTTACTTTTCGCACATACGAAATAATTGTTAACATTTTTTTCATATTGAAAATATTCTCAAATTGTTTGAGAATCCTCCAAAAAAACTGAATTTTGGTCAAATTTCGGATTTCTAACTTGTTAGATAGAACAATGTATCTACTTTCGAATGCACTATAGTTTAGTGATTTTATGATCAGATTCAAGGATATAACAGGTTCTTTTTTGCGCCTCAAATTTCTCCGCCATTTTAAATCCTAGAAAGCTAAGCTTAATGTCAAAATGAAGAGCTAGATTTTTCGATTTCTTCATTAATGTTTATAAAAAACTAACTGTTTTCGATCTATACCCCTGGGATTTTTCATATTTCGTCAGAGGAGTTTTCGAAAAATATAAGCTAAAAGAATATCGAAAATCGGTCCCTATTAAGTTGTAATACCATATCTTGGCTACATTTTAAAATTAGTCAAAATTTTCCAGGATTTGAAATAGCGGTGAAATTTCTGACGTAGAGAAACGTAAGTTTTGACCCCTAATCTTAAGCTAACTTTTGATAGACTCAATCTATCGAGTTGAAATTTTGACTATGAGGTGTCTAATTCTACTAGAAAATTTATCGAGATTGAATGATCGAAAAACAAAATTGTTTTTGCGGTAAATACTTGAAATGTTAATTATTAGAAGAAAAACAATCTTTATTTGTCTACGTTTTTTTTTTATGTATAAGCCATATGTTTGTTGATGGAAAATGTCGACATCAAGGAACAAACATTTGACAACAGGATTCCTTCGTTAAGAATATGACATTAATCACATTCTTATCGTAGATAATGTAAGATGTCTCAAATCAATTATTTTTCATTGATATTCTTTAACAGAAATAAAAAGAAGAAGAAGAAAAAAAAACGAAAAATTCTATAATTCCTTTTGAAAAATATATTCATAATAAATTTATGATAATAAGCAAATGAAAATCTCTAATGAATAGGAATAATATAAATTAAAAAAAGAAATATACAACATAATTAATAATAAAACTAATATTTGTAAATAAATTATTTATTTTAATGATAAAAGTTTGAAAAAAGATATATTAAACTCGTTGTGGTTGATTTGTACGAGCATTTTTTTTTAATAAATGTTGGACATAACGACGAGGACAAAGAAGTTTCATAAATGCCAAACGAAATTCTCGTGATGTTAATGAATAAACAAGAAAATTAAGCTAAAATAAAAAAACTAAATAGATATTTTCTATATTTATATAAAACATACAGCTGAATTGGTATAACCAAGCCAAGTAAAAAGACGAAAAAGTTGTTGTTCAAAATTTTTAAAATGAATATGAAAAACTCCGGTAAGAACAAGAAAAACAAAAAATGGTAACCAACAAGCAATAAATACACCCATAACAAATCCTAAAACTTTTGTTGCTTTATGTTCACGTGAAAATCGTGACCAATTTCTTGTATTATGAATTTTACGTAAACGATTTAAAATTAATATTGGAAATGATCTATGACTAAGACGATGATGTGTTGGTACAATTGGTGGAAGTGATGGAGATCGACAATATTTTCCCCGATGAATTCTTAATGTTATTGTTTCTGGTGTATTAGATATCGCATTAACATTTTCAATTGTTTTTATTGGTGGTATATCTCGATTTTTTTTTACTATTCGAAAACAAAATCTAGCTACGATTGGTGACGATTGATATGCTTCACCACTTGTTGTTCTTTTATAGCCTTGTCGTAATGCTGTCATTTGTCTACGAGCAAATATTAATATTCGTCCATAAACAAATACCATTATAACTAGTGGAATATAAAAAGAAACTAAAGATGATACTATAATAAACATTGGATCAGAAGGAAATTCACATCGATCATTTTTTGTTTCATTTAAGAAATTTTTATTAGATTCTAAAATAAAAAAAAAATTGTTATCTTTTATTTAAAATATAATTAATATATCTAACCTAATAAATTAGTTCTTCCTCCTAAAATAATTATTGTTGGACCAGCAATAATTCCTGAACAAAACCATATAACAGCAATAACAATTGATGAATGACGAGCTATAAATGATCTTGGATATCGAATAGGTGATGTTATTGCTATATATCGATCTAATGCAATAACACATAAAGCAAGTATTGATGCTGTTGATGCACCAACATCGGTTATATGCCATAAAAGACATAATAAATGATATGGTGATGGTGATGCTAATTCAAAAAAAATGGCTAATGGTATAACAATAACTCCAACACAAAGATCAGCAACAGCTAATGAAACAATATAATAATATGTTGGAGAATGAAGTGATGTTTCACGATAAACAGCTAATATAACAAGAAGATTTCCGACTAAAGTTAAAAAACATACAAATGATAACCACCAAATAGCTGGTAGAATCATTGTCTACATTTGCTTTTTTTCAATATTGAATGGATGATCAATTGTAACTGGGATCATATCGTTGTTCTTGTTCTTATTTTTTCTGTTTCTAATAAGAGTTACTTTTTCTGAATAATCAATATGAAAATTCTTCGTCGTTCTAATATCATTGATTGTTCTCTTCTTCTTCTTTCTCGGCTCGATTCGCTTCGACAAAATGATGATCTATATGAGAACAAGTTTCTATCGCTCGGGTGATCGATGACGACGTTGTTCGATGGGAAAAAATAAAAAACACGACAACTCAGATTCAATTACTCGAAGAGTATGTGCGACTCGCATACAACGCAATTAAACTCTATACCAGAAAGACATAAGCCATTGTTAACGTTTTTCTCTTTTCTTTCTCGAGATATCATTTATACAAACAACATATATCTTAACTAAGAACGATTCCAAGGCCATTATGTCACCATAAGACTTAACTCTTCTATTATTGTTTTCATACCATGCGGTCCATATATCGACTAGGAAAAACATTTCAAATGACATTTATTGACGGCTATTAATCTTATATTCCATCGATCTTGTGTTTATTTGGTGGATTTACACAAAGAAATATGATTATAAATTTTATTGTTCTTATAGATATAATTGACCTAACTTGAATCGATTTCAGGAAAAAGAAATTATCTTTTATCTTGATATGTTAATTGTATCAATCTATAACATAACATTCTCGGGATTCTGTAATAAAAAAAAAAAAAAAGAAAAAAAAGAAAATCGATTATTTATATTCATTAAATTGATGATTGGTAGTATTGATTATATTTATATCGTTCGATTAAATGTCAATAATCATTGACTTTTCGTTGTTAATTAAATAAATATTCATAGATGAATATCCTTCGTCTAAAATAATATTTTATCTTTTAAATTCTTTTTCTTAATCTTCAATTAATAAGAAATTAAAAATGAAGATTGATTTTAGATTTTCAATTCGAATAATTTTTCAAATGTTAAATATAATTGACTTTTTATCGATTTTGATGAGTAGTTGTTGTTTTTTTTCGATTAAAACATAATTATATATATATATGAAAAAAAAAACAGTCGATTATTTCGAATCAATAAATGTCATAGAACACATAATTATTATTCATGACAACAAATTTCTTTTTTTGTTTTTTTTTTTTTTGAAAAAAAAAAGAAAAGTAATATTATTTGTCTAGATATTTTGATTAATCTTGAATAAATGCATGTCATGAATAATATTTCCTTTTTTATTGAAAAGATTTTTAATTAGAAATTAATAAAATAGTTCTTTTAAAAGAAAAAAAAAAACAAAAAAAGGAAGTGTAATCTTATGTTGCACTCTATATTGTTCTTATATAAAAATAGACTAGAAAGTCGTCATTACTCAATAGGCGTTTGTCGTTTTTTTTTTTTTTATTGTCGACATTTATTGTCATGTGATTTACACCATAGAGAGTAAATGACGTCAAGAGAAGAAAAGAAGGAATCAAAATAATAAAACTTACATACGCGTACGACGTACTAATATATTCGATAAGTGGTTTTTATTTAATATTTACATTAAATGGGTCTATTATCTGAAGGTAATCCATTATCATGGACTGAAATAAAACTTGCTCTTCAACATATTCGATCTTATGCTCTTGATGAGCTTATACGTACTTTTAATAAATCTAAAGATCGACAAAAAGATGCATTTACATGGGGAGATGAAGTATTTTATTATTCATACATGTTTTTTTATTTGTATTTTTTTTTGTCAAGGTCGAATTAACATTAGTCAGATTTGATCATGATAATAAATATGTTCAATTATTATTAAAAGGTCATCAATTATTACCAATTGTATGTGAATTAAATGATAAAATAAATGATGAGTAGGTTTTTTTCTTTTTTTATATATATAAATAAATCTCTAATAATAATATATTTAAATCCAAAAAAAAAGAGCATGCCGTATAGCTTGGCATCCTGAAGCATGTGATTTTGTTGTTGAAGGTGTTCCATCACAACCTTATGGATTTTTACCATCTCATTTTAATATAGTTGAAGCTAATATGAAATTAAGAAGAGAACAAATACAACAAATTTTATGTCAACAATCTGATTGTGAATATATTTTAAATATTGCTGCTTTTCCAAGGTAATATTAGATATTCTTGTATTTTTCTTCGTCTAGTCATTTTCACCTTTTTTTAAGGAGCCTACAAAAATTTTAATACATTAGTTTAGAGTTAAAATTTCCTATTTTTTTTGTCAAATATCAGTTCAATATTTTGCTAGGACTTCTACTGTAGAAGTTATGAACTGATCTTATTGAGGCTAGGGGTTTACAAAATGGTCTCGGTCCCGGTCCTGGTAGTGTTTTAGAAAGAGTTATAGCCCATTTCAAAAAAAGGCGAGTGAGTATTTTTCCAATAACTTCTGATAAAATCGCTTCAGAGAAGTGCGATTTTCACAGTTGCAAAGAGGAGATGACGACGTACTGAATGGTGTATTATAGGTTTCCACAAGATGTTTTATTGAGATTTCTTAATCAATTTTCTGAAAAACTAAAGGAAAGTCGGTTTTTCTAAAAATAAGAAAAAGTTAAAAGAGTGATCTTTTTTACAGAAATTGATAGAAAAATCGGTCAAGACGTTCACATAAAATGCCTACAACTCCTAAACAGGTAATCGGAAAAGTCTGAACCTTACGTAGTTTTATAGATCTTCATTTAGCGGTTCGAATACGTATCGGGGTATTGAAAATTGACCTTAGGCAGCTGACCATATATATTGCTTTCCAAAAATGTTGATTCAAATCCGCGATAAAACTAAGTAAAATCATCTGTAATATATAGTTCGATGCGTCTCCATCTCCTCTTTTTAACGGTGAAAACAGCAGTTCTCTACAGTGGTTCTATCAAAAATTATTCAAAAAATATCCACCCACCTTTTTTTTTGAGTTAGGCGGTAGACTAGACATTTTCATATTTATTATTATTATTTTTTTTTGATGATCTATCTGGAAACCAGAATTCTTCAACAATCTCAACAAGATTTGTCTGGTGTCTTAATTTTGTCTTCAAAAATCGGAATTTTGCAATAACCTGTCTGGTGTTTTTCACTAAATAACTTATAATGTACAGTCAATACATAGCTGTTATTTAAGACTGGAACCGGGACTGAAAAATAGTGGTTTTGTCGATGCCTAGTTGAGACACGAATATTAAGTTTTGAGAAAGAAAATTGATGTTTTCTGCTGTTATAGTATCCCTTAGTACGTTGTTAGGAAATGCACACAAAGTTATGATCTAGAACGAAAAGAGTATTGTTTATTCTAGTCTAATTGGGTTAGGATATCTGCCAGAATAGCAGAAGACGCATGATTTGAGTCTCGCGAGGAGCATTACTTGTTCATTCTACCACTATGGGTCATTCGGAAATTGATAAGTCTGTAATAGATTGAGCTCATAGCTCGTAAATGATAAGTTCTAAAGAAAATTTTGTATTGATAGAGAAGAGAAAATTGTGATAGTAACTTAATGTTTTTAAAATTTGGGCAGACTCCTTAAAATGGATGAAGATATTGTGTAATTATTTTTCAATGATCCATTATATAAGATATGGCCAAAGGCAATGTACATATCCACCACTTGAATATGGTCCTTCTCATTCTGTTGAAAAATCTTTATGTTATCCTGATGCACTTATATCACCTATTCATCCACGAACAAAGTAAAATCAATTTTTGTTTTTTGTTTTTTTTTTTATAATAATTTATTCTATTAAAAGGTCTTTATCAAAAAATACTAATGAACGTCGTCAATCTAAAGCATCAATTAATATTCCAAGTAAGTTTTGTTTAAATAATTAATTTGTTGAATAAAATGCAAAAAATCGAAAAGTATTATGTTTTCTTCTTGTACTAATTTCACTAGTATTTATGTTTACTGAATTAGGGATCATCCTGACATCTACATTGAGATATCAACTTTATGAAAAAATGTCCTTTTTCTAATATTATGTCCCAATAATGTCAGTCTGTATTAATTGCACTGTAGAAGTTAGTAATTCCATAGGATAAAAATCTTTTCTTATCTAAATCTATTTGTAAAATAATTGAATAACTATTTATTTATAATTTGAGATAAAAATCTAATTAATTAATTTAATAATAGTATTCAAAGATTGTAAAACATTATCTCCATTTCGTGATGAATTATTTAAAGATGATCCTGATATAAAAGATGATAATATTCATTTGGATAGTACAACAGCTGGTTGGGGTTGTTGTTGTCTTCAAGTTACATTTCAATGTGAATCATTTGAAGAAAGTATTTATCTTTATGATCAATTATTACCATTATGTCCAATAATGGTAAATTTTTTTTTTTCTTTATATTTGAAATATTTTGTTTAAAATAGTTGTGTTTAAGTGGTGCATGTCCAATATGGCGTGGTTATTTATCTGATATAGATTGTCGATGGAATGTATTAAGTGAAGCTGCTGATGATCGAACAATTGAAGAAAGAAAACAAATAAATTTTTTATCACGTTTTAGTTCAACTCCATCTTATTTAGCTGATAAAAATAAACATTTAAATGATTTTGATTATCCAGTTAATCAATCTGTTGTTTCAAAACTTATTGATCAAGGTTTTGATTTAGAAGAATTTATTTATTTTGTTATAAAAGATCTTTTGTTTTTGTTTTTTGTTTAATATAAAAAGGAATGCCTGAAACATTATCTCGTCATTTTGGCCATTTATTTATTCGTGATCCACTTGTTGTTCTAAAAGAATTTCTTCATCCAATTGATGATACAACTTCTTATCATTTTGAGGTTATTTATTTTAATTTTGTTTAATATATTATTAAAAAAAAGTAAATTATAGAATCTAAATTCTCTTGTATGGAATGGTTTACGATTAAAACCACCACCATTAGATGATAATTTAATGGGATGGCGAATAGAATTTCGACCAATGGATGTATGTTAAATAAATATATAAAATAAAATAATATTTTTATTAAATTCTAGATTCAAATAAGTGATTTTGAAAATGCAGCACTTGTTGTTTTCTTAGCATTATTAACAAGAGTTATAATAACATATGGTCTTGATTTAACAATACCAATATCTCAAGTTAATAAAAATATGAATATAGCACATTATCGAGATTCAGCACGTAAAGAAAAATTTTATTTTCGACATGGTAATCAAATATCTGAAATGTTTATGAATGAAATAATAAATGGTACACAAGATTTTCTTGGTCTTGTTCCACTTACTAGAAAATATATTCTTCAACGAGAAGATATTGATGCTGATACAAGACATACTATTGAACAATATCTTTCACTTATATCAAAGCGAGCTGCAGGTTAGACTTTTTTTTTCTTCTTTTGTTTATCTATATTAAATTTTATTTGATTTTATTTTTCAAGGAACTTTATTGACAAATGCATCATGGATACGACAATTTGTACTTTCACATCCATCATATAAACAAGATTCAATTGTATCTCAAGAAATTCAATATGATCTTGTTTGGAAAATGCAACAAATAGCAAATGGACATGAAGATTGTCCACAAATTAAATATCCAAATATGGATACACATACTGAATTACATCCAAAATAATAACATACTTTTTTTTAACTCATCTTACAGAATAAACCAGATTCCTTCTATTTTATCGACATTTTCATTGTTTTACTTGAATTTTTTTCTTCAAAACATTCCTTATTCAATTCTTTACAAGATTAGATCTGTTTTTTTTTCAGAATTTTCTCGGAAACTCAATTACGTACTAGTATAAGACATATAGGATGTATGTATTCATGCAATATATCTTGTGCTGATACTTTATTGAGTTTTCTGAGATACTCATAGAAGACATCATATATGCACACAATGTATTTCGTAAGGAGAGATGCGTTTATACATCTATTGACATGCTCTACTATAGAAGTTCTTCTACCACCATGAAAATAATATATACTTTTGAAAAATCTTGAGTTCTACCTTTCATCTATTAGGATCTACTGGACTGTTCATTATCAGGTAATTGTACTGTTCAGTATAGATCAATAACATAAATATATGTTGGGATGTCAGTATAGATGCATATCATTAGATGGTCATAGATCAGTTGCACAAATGCTTCTTTATGCAATGAAATGTTATTCATTCGTTGAATGCAATTTGTGCTTGTACTTACACATTCCTCTTTGTAAGATAATTTTTTGATGTGCGAGATAGAAATAAATGTTATCATTCTTTAAAAGCTCTTTCGGAATATTGAATCAAATTTCATTCTCATTTGCAACCTTTTATTGACATACAATCAAACTTTTGTCAAATACAATTTAAAAGGAGTGTTGAAGTATATGGATAGAAATTTCGAGCTTCCCCTTAGTAGCACTCTCTCTCTCTCCCTTCTGTCGCAGATCATATGTTACACTAACGTTTTGTTCTAATGTATGAACGAGTTTGTTATTGCATTTTTAAAGGACTAAGTAAAACGAAGGTGAAGAAATAGATTCCAAAATCGAACAAATAAAACAATCTCTCTGTGATTAGCAAGAGCAATCATATCATCTTTCATATTTTAATCTCATAAGGATTGTGCTAATAGCTTTTTCTTTTACAGATATTTTGAAAATTTTGATGTAAAATTGTCATTACTTTGTAAAACTTCTGCGCTTATGTTCGATACTAACTTATTGCGTTTAAGATATAGTTGTTGTTGTTGGAAAAACAAATGATTTATTTGTCAAATCTGTGCAATAGTCTGGTAGGAAATTTTTAAATTTCATGAAAAAAGTATCAGATGAGAATATAGATGTAAGCAATTTCTATGCTTTTTCGAGTAAGGTTAACTAAAGAGAATATATTTTAAAATATAGATAAACATGACTATGTACATATCTAGTCATAGAGAAAATCGAACTATCTATTCTTCAGTAAATATTATAAAATTCGTCACCTCGACACTATAAATTCTTCAGTAAATAATATTTGACTATTAGCTTTTATCCGAGATATTTTGCACGTGTTTGTAAAGAATTGAATAAGAAATATTTTGAGTAAAAAATTGAAATGAAACTAATAGACATTGAAGAAACTGTTGATAAAAAAGTGTGAAATCTATTGATTCTGAAAGATCGATTCTATCTACGTTTTGGTAAGATGTCGCTTCTAATCAATATTCAATAAAATAAATATAAGATTGGTTTATGAGTAAACATGATATAGCTCACATGATAGATAGATAGATGGATGCATAGATAACTGAATCGAAAGGATTTTTTTTTCTAAATAAAGAAAAAAAAAGTGATGGCAGATCCAGCTCCAATACAACGTTCAGCTGAAGTTGAAGATTTAGCACATTTAAGTGAAAAAGAAAAAAAGAAAATATTTGAAGATGTTGATGAAAGAAAAAATTCTCTTCATCGAAGTGAAGAAATGGAAGATTTGGCTCATTTATCATCACAAACTATAAATAAACCTTTAATTAATGATCGAAATACAAATATTAAACAATAATAATAATAATAATAATATATTCATTAACATTTTCTTTTTCTTTTTGTTATTGTTTTTACAATTTCCCTTTTTTTTTTCTTACATTTTCAACGAATAAAATAATTTTCACATTTATGTTCAAAGAAAGAAAAAAATTCTAATAATAATTTTATTAATCAAATAAATAAATAAATTGTATTTTAAATTAGAAAATGGGTGGATTCGAAACAAAACAAACTATTAAACCAAAATTATCTTCAAAACAAATTGAATATTTAAAAAAACGAACACGAATGAATGAAGATGAAATTGAAAAATGGTTTCGTATGTTTTAATTAAATAAAAACAAAAAAGAAATCTTATTTGAAATAAAATTATTTTTTTTAGAAGAATTTCATAAAGATTGTCCCGATGGTCTTTTAACACAAAAACATTTTATTGAAATGTATAATCAAGCATTTCCAAATGGTAATGCAACACAATATGCTAAAAGAGTATTTGTTACTTTTGATAAAGATAATTCAGGTTTTCTAATTTTATTTATTTATTTTTTTTTATTAATTGAAAATTTTGTTTATAATTAAATAGGAAAAATTGATTTTAATGAATTTCTGTTAGCAATGGATTTATTTGAAAAAGGTGATTTAGATGAAAAACTAAATTATGCATTTGAATTATATGATATTGATAAAAATGGAATTTTAACAAAATCTGAAATTGAAATAATTATTAAAATGGTTCTTTCACTTCGTGGTGAAGGAAATAATGATCGTTTAAAAGATGATATAATTACACATCTAAATAGATTTATTACAAAATTTGATGAAAATGGTGATATGAAAATAACTCCAGATGAATTTTCTCGAATATGTTCACAAGATGAATATCTTAGACTTTTTTTATCACCAAATTTTTCTTCTTAAATTTTTTTCTTTTTTTTTCTGATAATTTATTTAATGATTTTCATACTTTAATTATTTTATTGTGATACTAGAATGTCTTGTATGAGATTTTTTTTAAAATATGGATTGTATTTTTATAGAATTCAATAAATCGAACACACAACCAACAATTTATTTCTACAAGGGACATTAAAAAAAGAACTTATCCATTATTCGAATATGCATTTTTAAGAGAAATATTTGTTGTTTCAGTCTATGAAATCAAAAATACACATACAACTTTTCATTTTAAAAGCTTTTTAGAGAATACAGATTCTGGTCGAAGATCTGAATCCGATTTTATTGAACTCAAAAATTTGACTAGAGAAAAGTATAATCTATTTATACATATTCAGATTAAAAGAGTACACATTTCTTTCATAACACACATAGATAAATAATGCATCAGTGTTTATACATGATGAAACTATTAGTTATACTTTGATTTCGATCAGAAAAATTTTCCTGGGCCTAATGCAACTCTCTAATCACCATTCATCTACAATGTACTAGTGTAGTTAATTAAAATCGATTGTGGAGATAAATTTTTCAAAGGTCATTCATGACTGCTCAATGCGTGTATAACATTGAATTGTTATCGTTGACTCGAATTTTATTATAAGTGATATTTCACCTTAAACAGTCAAAAATGATGCCTTGAATTTATAGTGATGAATATTAGGTTAATAGCAACTGTATTTTTATGTTGCCTCCTCGATAGGAATATCTACAAAGAGTCTGAAAAAAAACATTCGTGTAGCTGAAAAGATTTCCTATAAAACCCACTGCTGAGCATTTTTGATAAAAGTGTTCGCTAGACAAAAGAAAGAGCACGTCGAGAAATCGTTAAGATCCAAAGGACAAATTGATACGGTCAGTCAGTCTCAAGATAACCTAGACTAACTTTCTCATGTTACACGCCTATTGAGAGGCTCAGACCCTTTAACAAAACTACTTGGATAAGAGTCCGTAGAAAATCAAGGTTCACAAAACTAACTTACGTATTTTTATTCGAAGCTTTTGGAGAAAGGATTTTATTTCATCGAACAAATAATTCTGAGCAAGATAAGATGTCGCCAATATCTTCAAGACCTTCCTTCATGGAAATATATTCAATTTACAAAAGGTTTCCATAGATAAAATATGGTAGAAATATTGATATTTTGAATAAAAAGAGAACGAATATTTCTTAGATCTTCTGCAAATAGAATGAAATTTGATGAAAAGAATTGAGAAATTTATCAGTTTGCTCAAAATTATTTGCTCTATTGAATAAAATCTTTTCTTAGAAGTTTCGAATGGAAATGAGAAAACTGGCTTGATGATCTTGGTTTTACGCAGATCTTCATTGAAATATTTTTGCTGAAGACTTCAGATCTGTCGATCCTGATGGAGAATTCTTTCGGTTATACAAATGTGTTTTTTCTTTAAATTCTTGTTATCTATTGTCACTAGAAAGGAAATTTCGAAATACAATTGCTCTAAACTTTTTCTTCATCACTGTAGACTTGGGAAATATATCTGTATATAATGATTGGCAGAAAACTCCTTATGAGTGCAGAATGCGAATTATCTCATATTTTCTTCGTGAAAACTTAGCTATCGGACATCATTATTCTCTATGCTTTTTATGCAATGTGAAAATACATGCGACAATTATTGATAATCTAACTTCTGTTTTGTTAGGTCCCAATGACAAAAACTTTATTTGATTAGATATTCGAGTAAAAACGATATGATGAACATGTGCGAATTATTGTTTTCCTCAGTTTTGACTGCTCGTATGTTATTTTATAATAGTCGAGTCTTCAAGTACACTTTATTCTCTATTCTAATCATATAACTAGGATTGATCACTAGTAATAATGCCAAATACAAGAATAAATTTGGTTTATCAAAACCTTGTTAATAAATGAATGTAATTACTCTCAGTCATCAATGAGTTAATAATGCATTTATCGAAAATAAAATTTCGTAATATTTGCAGTCAATAAGTATCATTGAATTAATCGGTGGTGAAATTATATTTAAAGTATCTTCTATTTAATTTAAATGTTCAGTGAGAACCATCTTCAATTATTGCTCGGATACCATCAATTGTTTCAATGCAAATAACAGCTGAGGGACGAATTGTACGAGCTGTATGAATTTTCTCGATTAAAATCTATGAAATCTATTTTGAGCTATCCGACGTGAAGATTCTTGATCTCAACACAATCATATTAAAAGAGGATATGAGTTTTCCTATACGTTAAAACAGTTTTCTATTTATATAATATCGTAGTTCGAAATCGTTCTTGCGAGTCATTTAAAAACTTATTTGTGACTTATTTAAGAAAATGTACTTCTTTCAACTTGTATAAGTAATCTCATTTCCCGATGACTGCCTTTTTTCCATGATTCTTATAAGGTTTATTCAATATATTTCTAAATAGATTTTGTTATTTTTCTTATAAAGCTGTCTGTTTTTTTAATATTGTTGAGGAACTCTGTTGTAAACTCATCTTATTTTGATAAAGCCTGAAAACTTTGATTTGTTGATCTCTAAATGAAGAATAGAATATTTGAAAAAGGTTGTGGCTGTGTCTACGTGTGGATGGACGAGTAAATGTGAGCGTTTTCTTCACTACACCCACTCACACACTACTCTCTTCCCATGTTTTCATCAAATATAGACAAATGGTGTTATATAACAACACATTAATCATAAAAACTTTTTGGTTCGTTGGAGACTTCTGCGAACACTAAAAATTCATTTGTTAAGGTTTAACAACGACAGATTCGACTCAGAATGACTCATATTTGTAATAAAGTCCTTTGTTGATATGTACTCTTTTACCATAGTCAAATTAATAACGTTTCTATTTCAAAAACGAAATGATTTCAAAGAGAATATAAGTATATGATAAATTTTATTAAATACACGATTAATAATTAGTACTTTACTATAAAATTGAAAGGAAATACATGATCTTTCATTATTAAAAACATAAAGACATCTTCTTGAAAATTGAGCTCTCTCAAATCTTGATAACAATTCTATAAATATCAATATATCATTTCGTTCGAATTCAATATTTATTTTCTAAAATTTTCAGAAAAGAATGTTCAAATTGTGATGAAACAAATCGAGAAAAATTCTGATGATCCCGTTCAATTTTCAAGAACTTCTCGATCTCATAATAATTTCAGATGCTTTTTCTTTAGATCGATTTATATAGTATCCATTGTCGACACCAGAATAAAATTTGAACTAGTGTAAGACGAATATCTCAAGAGCGACAATAGCTGAATGTCTGTGATTTTCATCAACCAAAAGAGTCTGAATTAAAGCATGTTTTCATATAGTATTATGCCAAGTGAATTCATCACCTAAAAAATCGTTTTGGGGAATCTTCTCGAAAAATTTAATAATAATACAATGTATTTCTAATGAAATTTATCATTCTGACATGTATATTAAATAGAGAAACTGCAGCTCTACAGTTCAAGATACAATCCAAATATTTATCTTCTTATCATTTAACGTACAGTAAATGACTTCATCCATTTTCTTGGAAAAATAATAGGGAATTCCGTTCATTTTTAATCAAAATGTTTTCCATTTTATCAAAATGACTTGTTCTTCTGATGAAAGTTTGATAAAAACGAGAACTTTGGTTAAAAGCTAATCCAATTATCTTTTATTTTTACAAACAAATGGATGAAATCATTTACTGTACGTTAGATGATAAGAAGATAAATATTTGTATTGTATCTTGAACTGTAGAGCTGAAGTCTCTCTATCTAGTATACATGTCAGAATGACAAATTTCATTATAAATATATTGCATTATTATTAAATTTTTTGAAAAGATTTCCTAAAAGAGATAGATTAACTAATGAATTCAACTTGAATACCATTTATATGAAAACATGTTCTTATTTAACCTCTTTTGATTGCGACAATAGTCTTCTAATAAAAGCTGTATTACTTTGAAATTCATAAGAATGTGAAGCAATTTTCAACTGAACTTATTGATGATTAGATGTAAAATGAATCCTATGAAGTTTTGACTTTTGCTTGAAACGAATTGAACGTAAATTTCTTCATCATTTTTTAATGCATATAAAATTGACAAAATTAGATAAATCAATGCGAAAAATTATTACGTCATGTTGTCTCATTTTTGATGAGACAATATGAATCAAAGAAAGTTGCTTAAATTTCTTCCGAATAGATTGCACAATTTCTTAATATTTGTAATTCAAAGATTCTGTAGATGAAATATTCTAAAACTGTCAATATTGATAAGGAATATGTTTGAAAAGTCGGAGTAAACAACCATGTATTAGTCTTGAACTAAAATACACACAGAGATAATTAATGATCATTAGTGGTCTCTTCATTTTATTTAATTATTAACCTTTCGTTTCATTATAGATATATGATAGCAAGGATTATGGCTGCTTTTCTTTGGTTGATTGTCAATCTCCCTCTAGCTGAGGTGTGAGTGTGGATGTGGCGATGACAAAGAGAGAGAGAATCTACACCTACACCCATATCCACACCCTAGACTTTTGAACAATGAATGCCCAGGACGAAACTACCCAGCAGGATCCTGACGGATCCCTGAATAATCCGATGTCGTCCGATAACAGAATCCAGTCGGATACTGACTGTCGGAATCTCCGTTATATCTCTTGATTTTCGACGCTTTCCGACAGTCGGATTCTCCAG